TTTAACAATATTGGGTGAATAAATGCATCTACACAATTTTCAAACTGTAGGAAACTATTTCTAATCAGATTCTTATCAGTTATCATGTTTCTTATCAGATAACAATATAAGTGAATGTTCTCATAAATCAATCATGGAAAATAGGCATTTGTTTTCGTACAAAACATATCAAACTTATGCAATTAATTTCCGTTAATTCTATTTATGCACAGAGTGATCATCTCGACCGGGGAACAAATCTGATCTCTAACTTCACTTTAATATTCCTTTGAATTTACATCATTGGAAAGATGATTTCAACCGGGGAAACAATCCGGTAACATAATTTAAATCTTAAATTCCTTATGAATTTATTAAGGCGAAAATGTATCGACCAAATCGGCGATTTATTGGAAATGGGCCAAATTAGAGTACCCTTAACCGACAGCATGTATGCGTAGGTCAATGGATGTGAAGGAGGCGAGAGAGGTGTGTCAGGATCGTGCCAAATGGAAATCTGTAGTCTCTGCCTACCCCTCTGGGTGACAGGCGTGAGTGTTTATGGATTAGTATTTACGTGTTTAACATTAGGAGTGACGAATTTCATACACTTAGTTTTAGTTCTATTCAAATGCAAATTATTAACATTAAACAAATTGACTAACTTAGCTATAGCATTATTTACTTCGTCGTAATTAACTAAATAACTGTCGTTTTAATTTGAAAATTAGTGAAGTAATTGAACATCAACAAATAATACTATATCATGGTTATCCCCTACTATGTAAGGTAAGTCAATAATATACACAAGAAACAGAAAGGGGCCGAGAATTGAGCCCTGAGGTACGCCCATTTGTACAATCGACCCGGAAGATCTCATATTATTGATAACAACTTTTTGCGTTCTGCTTAAATATGAAATAATTAATTTAAGAGCATCGCTTCTTACACCGTAATGTTGAAGTTTCCTGATTAATGTTTCATGGTGAACACAATCGAAGGCTTTGAATAGGTCACAGAACACACCCAAAGCATCCTATGAATTCTCCCATGCATTAAATATATATTTAATCAGCTCACTAGCATCAGTTATCGACCGACTCCTTGTGAAACCAAATTGATTTTTATGAAGTAAATTATTTACATTAAAAAAATTGACATTTGATCAAGAATAATTTTTTCAAAAACTTTACTAAGTGTTGGCAGTACAGAAATAGGTCCAATGTACTACCAGATTTAAATAAGGGTATTACTTTACTATGCTTCATTAAATCAGGAAACACACAATAACTTTAACGTAAATCCCCCACAGATCGGCGGTTCTCTTAATATCAATAGTCTTAAAATATTTTACAATATCTTTTGATGACACTTTATGAAATGTAAAATTCTTTGTACACACATTTACATTTTGTTTAAGTAATGATTCGGCGACAGCAGGAGAAGAATTCAGTGACTTAGTGGTTAAGATCGGAATATCAGTAAAATATTTCTCAAAAACCATTGCATGATCTGACTTAGTTAATTTATTGTTAAAACTTAACTAGTAGTTTGAATTGCGAGAGTTGACCTTACCAGTTTCACTATTAATTATACTCCATGTCATTTTTATTTTATTAGAAGCAGTCTTTATTTTGTTGCTCAAGTACAATGACTTGGCTAAGGAGCACACTCTTTTAAATATTTTGGAATATTTTTTACATATTCCCTAAATTCGACGCTCGGATTATATGACCTTTCATTGTAAAGTTCATATAACCTTTGTCTATTCTTATGGACTCCTACTGTCGCCCATTCAGTAAATGCCTTGCGATTGTTCAAGGAGAATGTTTTAGAAGTAAAAGTATTATTAAGTTCATTGCAAATGAGCTTAAATAATGTTACATACAAAAAATTTGAATTATTTTGGTATGAAAGTAATGGAAGTTTTTTTACTATGTTACTTCTAAACTTCTCCAAGCGATGTGCATTTACGGGAACAAACACTACTTTTTTATCTACTTGCTTTTTGTGAACATAAGGTAATGAAACTAATTGTCCACAGAGATCAGAGCTCAATTTTTGAATTATACATTTAATGAACGGCTTAACATTTGTAAAAATGTTATCTATACATGTTGCACTAGATTCAGCAATACGTGTTGGCTCCAAAAATAAATTAAAAAGACCATAAGATTTAAACAATGAGCTAAATTTAATATTGGTGGAGGAAGCTTCTAGGAGATTGATATTAAAGTCTCCACATATTATAACAGATTTATTCTGTTTATTAAGCTTAGTGAAACCAAACTTCCTCCATAATTTTTTCAAAAGTATCATATAAAGAACATGGAGGTCTGTAAACGCTCACAACAATGAGGTGCTCAAACTCAACACATGCCATTTCTACAGTTCGCTCAACAGAGAAGAAAGACTTATTAGAGAGATAGAGAGAAAACTTATTAGTTTTAATCATCATCATCATCTTTAAAAAACGTTGCTTCCACACTAGGATTTTATCCTGTATCGTGGGGACAGTTTACAAACATAAATTTCACATGTACGAACATCCAGACCCTGAACAATTACTTGTAGGTCATGCAAGTACTTGTTCCGTGCGGGATTCGAACCCGCGGCCCTTAGCGCTGTAACTCATTGCTAAGCCACTGCGCCACTAATAAAATATAATATAAAATCATAGTCTATAAAATTTACTTCCTTCAAAGAAATTGTAACAAAGGCATAATCAAGAGAATGAAAACGCAAAGTTCATCGAAATGTATATACATTACATACTTATAATTACAAAAGGTTAAGAAGGAAGTTTTTACAATGATAAATATCTCGGCAAAAATGTAAAATTCTAAATCTATTTAAGTTAGTATTTTTGCAGATATATTACGGCTGTAGCATAAACGGGTCGACTCGACCGGGGAAAGACCACGCTCTCACAAAATAACAGAGTAGAATAGCAGCCCAATGCTGCTGTGTTTTGTATGGTGAGTGTTAAGGAACGGAGACCCTTTTACTGAATACATGGCATTTCATTATAGTCCTCAGGGGTGACAATTCTTTTTCGATTATTAATGAAGGATAAATGTAGATGTCTACGTGCCACAGCATCCACTTAACATCCGATGCAAATGTTAGTAGTATAGTCTTATAATATAGCTAGCCGTTTTAAAAGGCGATATTTTTTTTGAGTTGTGGTAGCTCAGTTGAGAGTCGTGGTCGCTCAGATGGTTAGCGCTCGTTGTAAATTTCACAGTAAGCGAGCAACCCGGATTCGATACCCGCCGGCACCAATGAAATTATTAATTGCAATTTTAAGTGCTGATTTACCACTTGCTCGGCGGTGAAGGAAAACATCATGAGGAAACCTGCGTGTTAAATAAATAAGAAAAAAAACATTTCGAAGACATGTAAAGTTCGCCAACACGCATTGGAGCAGCGCAGCGGACTATTCCTTGCGCTAAAACCCTCTCTCTCAGAAATGAGAGGAGTCCTGTACCAGCGGTGGGACGTATATAAGCTGTAACCTTAACTTTTAACTTTAATTGTGTTTTGTTGATTGTCCTTTTTTAGCCAAATTACAATTACAGGCAGAGAGAGGTTAATAATTATCTATATTTTTTTTTATTTTTGTTACGCGATATCATTAAAGTTTTGTACATTTAAGATCCTCACGGATAACTCTGTTCCGTGGAGGCGACAAAAAGATTACACCGGACTTCTACTTGTATAAAACCTTTTTGAATTAGTTTCTTCGCTGTTTAATGAGGCAACGGGATCGCTTTTGCACACCACCGCAATCTCAATAGCGGTAGACTACAACAAACTCCCAACACGATACACAGGGTCTTAATTTCCAGACTTGTTATTTAGTATTCTACGTAAGTCGCAAGAGACCGAAGCTGAATCTCGTGAATATATCCCGTTTATAAAATAACATCAGCATACGAAATTAGTTTTCAAAAAGCCGATAAAACCATAGTAAAAACAGAATAGTAGGATTAGTCCCGCGCTGCGCGAGACTTAAATGCTTACTGTTGCAGGGTTGTCACTGTCTTTTTGTTTAACAGCTAAGTCACATTTATTTTTATAAGTAGTTATAATATTTACAAACGTAATACATACGGATATGTACCTATGCGTCATATTTGTTTATCATTACTTTAGTTTCCTCTTATACTTAGAATAAGTGTTAGTCAAAAAAATCCAGCTTTATATTACACCAAATGCCAAATAACTAAAATAGGAGTAAATTAACACTGAGCATATGGTGCCACCTCAGATTTAATGTTTAAAATTAATTTTATGTGATGTGATATAACAGTTAATGTACTTATGAGGTATGTATTTTTGTATTCTCGTAGATATAAAACTATTAACAAAAAGCTAATTTACTTAAACAAACCCATATATTAATTTATTTCTCAAAAATAAAAATAAAACGAAAAAACATTCTTGGAATTTTTTTATTAAAAGTCAAGTCTCAAGCAAAAGTGATTGCGGAGCGCGGCGGTGGCCGTCCCCGACTCGGCCCGATCTTCCCGACTTAAGCCGGCCACACATGTGTGGCGTGTGTATGACATAATTTCTTGCCTACGCAAGCAAAATTAAAAAATATAGAAATTGATATTTTAACCGATCGGTTATGCGCAGGTCGCTTGCGCAACCATAACTGAACGTATGTGGCAGGTGGGCTTCACTTATCCGGCAAGTGTCGTACGTCACTGCGCAATAATGTCATCTCGCAAACGAAATGCAATTTTGGAGGAATTTATTGGAATATATAAATCGGAGCCCTGTATATGGCGATTGAAGGATAAAGAGTATCATGACCGAAATAGAAGAGCGGCACCATATGAAAAACTTGTAACCAAATTAAGAGAAATAGAGGCAAATGCGACAAAAGAGGATGTCAAAAAATTAATGCGCTACGAAGTAATGTACGAAGAGAAAAAAGAAAGATTGAAGAATCAACTAAATCGGGAGCGTCGGCTGATGGAATTTATAAACCTTCATTGTGATATTACGATATGTTTGAATTTCTCGGAGATCAGGACACTCCTCGTACTTCACGATCCAATATAGATGACGCCGATGAAATTGAGGTAAGAAATAGTAGTTTTTTATACAAATGTGGCGTGGGTCGTATGCGTGTACATGTGTATATATAATTTAAAAAAATGTTATGTTATTTTCTCTGCCGAAACAGGAGGGTTATGTTTTTCGAGAGTATGTATGTAAGTATGTCTATTTTTTGACCGTTCTGTAGTCTAAACGGCTCAACGGATTTTGATGTTAGCGAACTTGTATGAAAATTATTAATTTGGTTTGGTTCTGTTTTATTTGATGAACCAAATAGAAGCAATAAAATCTGCTATAATGGTAATGAAACATTTATTAGTGACGCCATAATTTTTATTAGATACAATCATTTTAAACCTGAACACATACAATATACTTAAGTCACGACGAAGTTATCTTGCCAATCATGGCAAATGAAGGCAGAGTACACTCTACCTTTATTTACGAAGTAATTAGTAAATTTATCTCGCACCTGTTTTGCATAATTTACAATGTTTCCTTGGATTCGTTGCAAGTTTACCAGAGTCGAATCGGTAGTATTATAGCCTTCTGTGATGAAAGTACAGTTTGCAGTATTTTCTTCATAAAAACATTCCCGGGCGCATAAGAACTTCCTACGTGTTTCATTAAATAATTACGCAATACGCATGTTGCCATCACTATTTTTTCTATTTTCTTTGGCTCTTGATTTATTACAGTATGGTATATTCGAAACCTAGATGCTAGAATACCGAAAGCATTCTCAACAATATGTCTAGCGCGGGACAATCTATAATTAAATATCTTTCTTTCGTGTGAATGCAAGTCAGCTTGTCGAAATGGTTTTAGCATATCAGTTCTTAAAGGGAATGCGTCATCAGCAACAAATACATATGGGAGACTTGTTGAGCTGTTTTTGACAACTTCAGCGTTAGGAAGTTCAATTTTGCTATCCTGGAGCATTTCAAAAAACTTGGTATTCTGTACAACGCCTCCATCAGATATTCTGCCACTAGTACCAAAATCAACCAGAAGACATTCGTAATTAGCATCTACTATTGCCATAAGCACCATACTGTGTCGTTTTTTATAATTATAGTAATATGATCCGCTATCAGCAGGTGGAGTTATGTCAATGTGCTTACCATCAATCGCAGCTAAGCAATGAGGGAAATTCCATCTATCTTCAAATTGTTGCGCTGTATTTCTCCATTTTTCAGATGAATTAGGAAACTGTAACAAAAATTATTGTTTTAGGAAATTGCTGATATCAGGGATACTAATGAAAACACAACTTTGGATACAGAAGTAACTCTAGAAAATACAGCACAAAACTCTGTATCTCATGAAAAGCAGCAGGAGCCAGCCGAGAAACAACCAATGATATCAAGACCCGGTAAAAAAACAACAAGCCAGATAAATTAGTAAACGAATTATTAACTTCAATTAGGGATCATTTTAAACGACCTGCAGCTTCACCGCCACCGCAAGAAGACCGGTATGATTTACTAGATAAATCCATAGCTTTGAAATTAAGGGCAATGGAAAAACCCCAGTGGCTTATAGCTGAAAAACTAATAAATGATACTTTGTTTGAAGGAGTGATGGGAAATCTAAGCACAGAAAGTTACCAGAACAGGAATATTCCACACTATCATAGAGGCCAATACATACATTCTCCAAGTTCGACATCCATCTCAAGTAATAGCCCACATCATACACAAAGCCCAAGTCCTTCATTGATGCAACAATTTCAATATACTCATTTAATTAAATGCGAACTCTCATCGGAACCCTTTACTCATACAGCTTCCTTCTACATCACGCAATGAGTAATCCTCCTGTCGAGGTACAATTATCAATTCCAGAAAAGACGGACTCATCTCGGAACCAGTTCCCTTCTACATCATCCGCAATGAATAATTCGACAAATGTACAACAAACAATTGAAGAAGATTCTGTTACAGCGTCACGTGAGTAATAAACTCGCATTTTGAATATAATTAGTAGAGTAGTGTTCTAATATGTTCTTGATGTTTTACCTAAATAAAAACTTAATCTACTTATCAAAATTTTATCATTTACACTTACCTTTAGATAATCCTTTTGTAAAACTTTATAAATTGCATCGCAAGTTTCAGGAATAATTTTGCCTAGAGCTTGCGGTGATATTAAGGCCGAATATTTTAAGCATTCATATGGTCGTCCTGTGGCAAGGAATCTCAATGTCACAATTAACCTCTCGTGTGGTGATATAACGAGTCTCATAATGGTGTCCTGCTTTTTAATTAATGGAGTTACTTTCGATAACAGCGTAAGATAAGTTTTATCGTCCTTACGTAAACAATTACGGTAATCTTTCGGATAATACGTTAATTCCTTTAGTAAGTTGACATGGCTGTATTTTCTCCTTTTCTGTAACCACTTTTTGCACCACTCTGTACGGCTTCGCTTTTTACCTTTTTTTCTTCAAAATTACAAATAATAATCCTATGAGCGCTATTGAGTCGACGTCAACCACCGCTGCCGGTGACATGATGGTGACTGAGAGCGTGTGCCCCATGGAACTCGGTCGAGCCGTCGGTTTTGCTTGCACAGGCAAAACTGACAAGCATTACCTAGCGTGTGGCCCTCTTTAGCAAGTGTCGTTATGTGCGCGCTGTGGCTTGTGCGTACGAGTCCGTACTGTCACGTGCCAGGCACGCACATTACACGTACGCACGTACATTTCTTAGAAGATAATTTTGTTTTTACTATGATAAATCTTTGCGTTCCGCATGAAAAACTTGTAAATTGATTGAATGTATTTTATGGTCTTGCGTGAAGATGCATTGAATACATTGAACAGAACACAGTGAAAAGTTGCTAGGTAGAACTCCTTTTTTGCCAAAGAATCTGTCCACACTCTCGGCTATTTCCGCTAAATAGCAATAAATGCACTAATGTGTTGCGGTTTCAAGGTTATAGTGAACAGAGGTGACAAGGTGAGGTCTTTGATCTTCTTTGCTTGTTGGTCTCAGGTGTCATGGGCTGCAGCGGCTGCTTACCATTAGGAGGACCATAAGTCCATTTCTCACTTCAGGTTCTTTTTTAATAATACGTGCTATATAAGCAGCAGCTATTCACAAGACGCGTATGGCAGCTATCGTTCTCGACGACCATTTTATGAAAATTGAGCGTGTGAATGAAACCACAGAAAGGGGGTAGCAGCGTAAAGGAACAAATACATTAACAATTTACCAACCACGATTATTTTTTATTTATATAAACGAAAATTAACCTTTATTTTCTAAGCACCCTTAAATATTTCTTCTTCTTACCATTACCGAGTCATGAGTAGTAGTAATATAAACAGGGTTACTTTTCAAATAGTGGCCAAATTTTGAACTTGAGTGCAAATATATAAATAATGATATACCATTATTGCAGTTTTTGAAATACGAATAAATAAGGGTTTTCTCCATTCTACATTCAATTTTTACCTTTATTAACTTAAATTAAATTATATTTTTTCATTAAATATATATATATATATATATATATATATATATATATATATATATATATATATATATATATATATATATATAAAGATCAATTTCATAATACGTTAGTGTAAAACAAAAAAAAAATATCAGTGCTATATACTCCTATTCCGTTCACCTGTTACACCCTATTTTTTTTCAGACGGTAAAAAGTCATCCAGTACATGGTATATCTATCACCAACCTGTCGATGGTGGTAATTTCGGTTCTACGTAGTTCTTACGGTAATTCCTTTCATAATGGAATTAAAACTGCTACCTTCTGATGATACCTCTACGAAAGATAAAGCGGGCAAAACACTTATATCCAAATAATTCTTCTCTGTATGTAAAAATCAATTGCTATCTGATAGTCTAGATAAAATTCCCGATAGACCGATTTTGATGAATTTTTTTGTGTATATCTCAAAGGATCCCTAGATGGTTTAGATTCACATTTTAACCTGGTGAGTGGCGCTGCTGTCGTGATCCATAAATCACCCGTGCGAAGCCGGGGCGAATCGCTAATAATATATATATATATATATATATATATATATATATATATATATATATATATATTCTATAGGATAGGGTGACAAACGAGCACACAGTCCACCTGATGGTAAGTGGTTGCTGCTTCCCATAGACATCTACATCTATCCTTGATTACAGATCAAAATGCAGATGCGTTGTCACCCGTGAGGGCTAAGATGGAATACATGCCCCGTTTCTAGTAAAAAGGGTCTCCGGTTAAACAACAGCGTTAAGTTACTATTTCACGCTGGTATTCGTGAGAGCGTGGTCCGTCCCCGGGCGAGCCAACTAATTCGTCAACTATACTTCTAATATAACTGCAGCATGGCTCTACCACGTATATAGTTTATGTTTTAGTTTAGTTTACACAAAAAGTTTAAATATACAAACATATAGCATAAATATACGTACAATAATACAATATATATATATACAATATATATATATATATATATATATATATATATATGCTTATAAACTTCGTAAATAAATATTCGTATGAATGATATATATATAATAATATAGTGTTTGATCAATATATATAATGAAAGAAATATTTGAAGTAAAAAAAAAACAAAAGAATAAAGGAAAAATAATATCAATTGCTCAATTAGTAGTTGCCCTCGGGTAATGTTGTCGTAGAAGAACTTTGAAGACTTTTTTATTTGTGACATTCTGAATATCATTGGGGAGGTTGTTCCAAAGTTTTATAGCTTGTATCGTAAAAGACGACTTGAAAAAATTAGACCTATGCTATGAAAACCTTAACCTCCGGCGGTTTGACTGTCGGGATGTTCGACCGTCGATCGAATGAAGAAAATGAAAATTATCCTTAAGATAAGAGCGACCTTAGATCGTGTAAAATTGAATAAAGTACAAGTAAGATTCTAGAGCATCGCCTTTGACGTACTCGTATAGGTAGCCATTTAAGCTTTGAACGATAATATGATATGTGGTCATACTTACGTAAACTAAAAATAAACCTTATGAAATGATTAAGAAGGCGCTCCATCTTGTTAAGAAGACAACTGCATAATCGATAATAGGTAGAATGAGGGAATACCACCACCCAGCGTAAGCTTGGTTTTGAAAGGTAGAAAATTTTTAAGACGATAAAGGGAACGCAAGGTAGCAAAAACCTTATGACTTACTTCAGAGATCTGCAATTTCCAGGTAACAGTTTTATCCAAGTACAGGCCAAGATTTTTTATGGAATCAAAGTTCCATTATAAATTACAGGAGAGAGATTTCCATAATCAACCTTAGCCAATAATTGCGAACTTCCGAAGATTATAACTTTGCATTTGGCAGGATTAACAGAAACACCATATTTACAAGAACAATCTCTTGTGGCTTTCAAGTTATCATTTAGTTTGTGTATTTCAAAGGTAAGATTATTTAAGCCTTGTACACAAGTTTTGCCCCCATTTACCTAGTACCACCTAATTGACTCTTTTTTTGCCTAGGAATTCGTCTGGATAAATAACACTCCCTTAACTATTCCTGCCGCTAAGGAACAGTGAGTCACCTGTGTTTTGGTTTGAAGAGTGTAGAGATTTTATGGTTGTACCACGAATGGGTCGGCTCGACCGGGGAAGGACCACGCTCTCACAGAATACCAGCGTAAAATAGTAGCTTAATGCTGCTGTGTTTCGTATGGTGAGTGTAGAGATCCGAAGACTCTTTTTTACTGAAAACGAGGCATTCCATCTTAGTCCTCAGGGGTGACAACAAATCTACGTTTTGTTTCTTAATCGAGAATAAATATAGATGTCTATGGGCTACAGCACCACTTACCAACAGGTGGACTTTAGGCTAGTATGTCACCCTTAATCTATAAAAGAACATTATAATTACAGACCTGGAGTCATTCCATCTTGGTCCTTGTTACTTCAATTCATTAGAAAAAAATAACCTTCACCGATGAGATGATAGCGAATTTGTTTTAAAAATTTTTCAGTTATAATTTAGTGCCGAAAATCGAACTGTGTTGCTAGCATACATCATTGGATAAAGTTCTTTGTATTCTATCGAGAAACATGCTCAATAAATATGAATAATAGTTATTATGTAACAATAAAGACAAATAATACACTATTTTAAGGATATTTAAGACTACAACAAACTATTCAACGAGCAGAAAACCCGATATTGTTTTTAAATTCTAAAGGAACGAAAGTAGGAACAGACATTGAGGTTACTGTTTCCGAGCACAGACGTTACATATTCAATGGTGTAAATGGTTTTGATACTTGATGTTGAAATATTAATTATATAAAAGTCGACGATCTGGTGAAAATATTGCCAGAATTATTATGTTTTGGGTGATTAAAAATCGACCTTATCTACACTTATATATAAAGCT